TAACAAGCTTTCTGATTCCATCAGCAAGAAAATGATGTTTAACAGGGAGGCTGCCTCCCCGTTTGTTATGTTTCGCGTATGAACTCGCACCCCCGAAGGACAGCTTTTCATGGCCCAAACAGCTATAGAGATCACTAGGTGGAATAATGTATGGCAGCTGTTCCAGGGCTGTCCACACTGGCTTCACGACTTTCGCTTGGTTTAACTTGTTCTGACAATAAATAGCAAAAGCCCCTCTGCTTTTCTGGAAGGAGTGTAGCCATTTCTAAATCAGCAGCAGCAACTGGACCAGCTTCCCCTCCCGGGTCGGGTCCTCAGCACGGCCTGTGTGTGTCCGCAGGGGTGAAGCCTCCACTGGGACAGCAACACCACCCCTTCCCAGACTAACGGGAGAAAAAGGAGAGGAGGGGAGTAGTAGGATATGAAATGGGAAAGGCCGTTAGTTAGGGCTCTAGGCTAAAGGGTTAGACTCCATTCTTGGAGACAGCCACTTGAAAAGTTTTCCAACTAAGGAAGAAAATGCCAACATTGGATTGAGTGTACGTGTGGCCGCAGGTTAGCTGGGTCCTTGTGGTTTTAGGGAACCAAGTGGGCTTCCTAGAACCGCCTATTTCCAGGACGTTAAGAAACCGTAAGCCTTCCTCCCCAAGATTTCTGTAAACTTCTGATGTTTATGTGCTCATGGTCTGGCCCTTAGTTCATATATGTGGTCTTTGCTCCATTCCTATGTCACCCAAAGAACAAAGCTCAATTCCTCTCTGATTTCCATAAGAAATCCATGTGCGTTGAGCATTGTACACATTATTATAAATTTACTGAATATTTAGGAGGTTAGGAGTGGGTCACATGAACATTGATTCACCTTTGACCCTTCCACTGCTTCCTCTATGCTCCCAACCTCCCTCTTCCGTCTCCTGGGTCCCTCTCAAGAACAACCCACAGGTCTTTCTCCTTTGATGTGCAGAACAGTGTCCCCCATCCCCACTGCTTCCCCAGACCAGCTGATCAAGAATTTTCACAGCAAGGGCAGTCCTTTGAGTATTATCCTAAAAAGACATTTTCATAAGGGCTGCCAAGTGGAGGAAAAAAAACCTTCGCTTATCCGTCTTGTTTTGAGTGACTCTCCCCCACACTGCCTGCTAAATAAAGCTCATATTTATTGAGGACTCACTGGTTACAGATCCCTGTGCTAAGAAGACACATCAAGATTCACAGCCACTCGTAACGACCCAGAGATGCTAAAAGATTTGACTATGACTCGGCTAGAAAGTGACAGCACTGGGATTTGAACCCGGGACCCTGCAAGTGGGAGCCCCATTACATTTTGCTGCACTGCATATACAGGCCAAAATGAGGCACCCACTGGACACCAGGACAGTCTTGAGCTCAACCGTAGAGGACATTTCTTGTGGATGAGAATCATTTCTCAGTCCCAAAGTGTCACTGGGAACAGAATACTTGGCTTCCCCCATCTTTCTCCCATTTCCCATGGCTAGATTATGTGTGACGTCCTGGGTTGGGGGGGACCCTGATGATCCTTGGCAGCTCAAACACTGCATCTGCCCACACATCAGCCAGCTGAATGTCACCCGCACAGTTGCTGATGTGGTCTCCCGAATTAGGGAACTCAAGTGAAAGGATTTAGGATTAGAAGAAGCCTGCAACCTTCCCCAGCCCTCTGGGCACTAGGGGAGAGTGACCTGGAAAACCAAATGCAGCGAAGTGTTCCAAAATATAGGAGTCTGGTTTGAGGCATAGTAGAACCTATTAGCGTGAGAAATTGGTCTGGAAATCTCATTAAAAGAGACAAATCATTCAACATTCTCTCCAGATTGGAAATATTGGGGGTATTGGACTTTCCCCGGTGCTTCGGACCCATGTACCTCATGTGAGGATCACGGCCAACCTCTGGCAAGGCTAAATTCAATGCAGGTGATAAAAGGCAATTATTTTCTTTAAATGGGCAGTGCTGATTAGTTCTGATTTCTCTGGCCAGCCGCACACTTATCTATACCAGTCCCTCATTACTGTGAAGGGTGCTAGGCAGAAGAGCCAATGGCAAAGAGAAATGAAGTTCAAACCGTGGATTTGTCACTACTGCACAGCTCAGTAGATGATTGTCCAGCCACGGAGGCCCCTGTGACCAGCCCTACCCCTTGCCCTACAAACACACACACACACACACACACACATCTCCTTTCTCAGTATGCCCAGTTGACCCCCAATAGAGACGCCCGGAAAGCGAGGCACCATTGCGTTATGAAACTTAACCTCCTTGTCTTTGCTATTTAAGAGAGGTGATAAGAAGAACAATCCTTCACATTTATTTGTTAGCTATTAACATTATTGTTGTTATTCTTGTTGAGCACTGATAGGTTCAACAATAATATGAAGCGCTGGTATTTATTGAGTGCTTATTCCATGCCTGGCGCTATGCTAAGGGCTTTCTTCACAAGCATTATCTCCTTTATCCTCAGAGCACCCTGCAGGACAGGGCTTGGCAGACTTTCTCTGTAAAGGATCAGATAGAAAATATTTTGGGTTTTGCAGGCTCTATGGGCTCTATCTCAACTACTCAAATCTGCGCTGGAGCTTGAAAGCAACCATAGGCGATACGTAAAAGAATGAGCATAGCTGTATTTCAATAAAGCTATTTTTACAAATAAAAAGCTTTATTTACAAAAATAAAGCTTTATTTACAAAATCAGGCTGCTGTCCTATGGGCCATAGTGTGAACAGTGTTATCTCTCAGCTAGAACTTGAGTTCCACAGCTAGGAAGGCGGGAGACACGTGCTTTTCTCTCTCCTACACGCTCCCTCCTCCCTGCTCTTCCATTCTGGTTCTATTTCTGGATAAAAGATGTTTTTGCATGTGACTGCCCGGGGTGAATTGACTGTTCTCTCAACAAAACGGAGAGTGATCATTTTCATGAAAATCCTGCATCCGCGGTGGCTATGCAGAGGCCCCTGGATTTCTGTGGATTACCTCTGTCAGTCTAGCTCCTTGTCTGCAAGCTTGGTGTAGGCTGTGGCAGACCCCACTGCTGAGACTCCATCCCAAGCTGCTCTCAGGAGCCTTGGTGGGTCTTTGTGAGTCTCAGCCACGTCTTCTGGGCAACCCTTACATGGAGGGTCTTTCTAACACATGGCATTTTTGTCCATGCTGAAGTGCCCCCCAGCACCCTAGTGTGAGCTTTCCTCTGTGCCCCAACTCTGTGGCCCGCCGACCTGGACAGGGTCCATCTCCATGCCCCTTAGGAACCAGGAATTTGAGGGAGCATGCTTTGCCCTTCTCTGAGTCACAATCCCTGCCACCTACCTCAGTATTCTTTCCCCAGCTACAGTCATCTAGGGGCTCAACAGATACAGGGGAATAAAGTATCTGTCTCTCCTTCTTAGTGACACCATAAACTTAAGGAACGATTTATGATCTTGGACCAGGGTTTCTCAGTTCCTGCACTATTGATATTTTGGGCCAGATTCTGTAACCGAAAGTTCAGTCTCTGAACTCGATGCTAATCCAAATAACGAGAACAGAGTCTTGAGTGGAAGAGGAAAGGTTTTTACTATGCCAGGCACAGGGAGCAAAGCAAGGGCCCATGCCTCAAAAGTTGCTAGCTGCCCGATGAGGAATGGGTAGGGATTTTTATTTGGGGTTTTGGGTAGGGGAGGGGGGAACATGTAGCTTGTGCAGCTCGGTGCTTTCCCACCAGCCTGCGTTTGGCCTTGAAAGGCTGCTTGCAGCAAGGCGGGGGGAGGGTGAGATAGGAGGATGGCAGGCGGGCATCCTTCGCCGTTGTCTCCTCTTCTTGTTTGAGGCAGGTTCGAGCACCGGGAGTCGAGGAGTTGAGATCTGGGAAGCCTCCGCTCCTTGATACTCTTGAGACAGCGGCTTTCCTGGCAAACTCAGGGACACATGATTAGCTAAACTTTAGTGTGCCTCCAACTCCAGGCCACCTGGGCTTTTAACAGTTTGTCACTCCCATTTAGTTGTAAAGCTCAAGGAGTCCAAGTTTAAAGAAACAGGTATTTGCATGTGAGTGGAGCTAGAGAAGCAGGAAAGGGGGTGGTGGGTTTTAGTTTTAACCCCATATATGGTGGGTTCAATGTGGGGGAACTGATATCAGGGCTGATGTTAAGAGCCTGTAACAGTTCCTCCTGGGGGAGCTACTATGTGCACTGTAGGACGTTTAGCAGCATCCTGGCCTCTACCCACTAGATGCCCATTGCAATCCACAGGTGTCACAATCAAAACTGTCTCCAGGCATTGCCAAATGTCCCCTGGGTGACAAAACACCCTCTGACTGAGAACCATTGTCTTAGGTTGAGGGACAACCATTGCCATTTGCTCTCTCAGCTGTGGGTTCTAATTCCTAATTCTAGAAAAATGGGGAAGATCACAGACAAGATCTCTCCATACCATGTTATGTTATCTTTTGGTACAAGGTCAGCATCATTACCCCCTTTTACATATGAGAAAACTGAGCTGGGTCAGAAAGCTAAGAAGCAGCAGAGCCTGGATTAGGACCCAAGCCTATCTGATGCCAAAGCCTATGTATGTTTTAAAACTACTGGCGATCTGATGATGAAATGAACACTGTGAAGGTTTTCCGAGAATGGGGAAAAGTTTGCCATGATTCCCATTGAACTAAAGTTATACCTGCCCTTCCCTCAGCGTTCTATCCAATCCTGACAGCAGTGCCTCAAGGTAGGTGTTATTCTCTCCATTTTACGGATGAGGAAGCCTAACAGATGGTTTGAAATCAGCATAGCAAAGATTTTTAATCCCAGTGTTTCTGTGTTCAGGGTTTTGACATTTCAACAACCAAAAAAAGGGATGGCTGCTCCCAACACGGAAGCTGAGTCTAATTTTCTGGATAGTACCCTAAATTTCTAGCCAATGTTTCCTACAGGCCTTAAGAAAGGCTCAGGGATAAATGAGACCAAATCCCCCCACCCCTGGCCTTGACGTCTTTCTGTGACGTCTTTCCTTTCCCCAGCTCTGTATGCAGTACTGGCCTGAGAAGACCTCCGGATGCTACGGGCCCATCCAGGTGGAGTTCGTCTCCGCAGACATCGACGAGGACATCATCCACAGAATATTCCGCATCTGTAACATGGCTCGGGTAAGCGTACGGCCGCCGTTGCTTTCTGTGTCTTTCCTCCCCCAAACAGACGGAGGCTGCTGGGAGAAGATCCCACACGCCAGCCAAGAGTCTGTGCTGTGCTCTCCTGATAATCTCCTCCTTGAGGAAGTGATGCTTCTGTCGATTCCGGCTCTAGACGTGGCAATGGCTCCAACACTCCGAGACGCACAGGGCGACATCCAACCTGCCATCTGCCTGTTTCCTGACACGCTTGCTGCTGTGTAGACAAAACTTCTCAGAGATTAGCGCTTCCCCACTGTGTCACACTGTTTTGGCATGAATTGATGCAGCCTTTGAATGGATCCAGTAAGCTTTGACTAGACCCTGGGAACACGAACATGAAAAATAATCAGTTGCTTCCGTGGGGAAATTCACTGGCTGGGTGGAAGAGTACTGGGTGGGAGAACGGAGAATATTAGTAATTTATGAAATGGGGGCTAACTAAAATGGCCTTGGTCTTTACTCAGTCCCAGCCCTCAGAGTTCACTATCTGATGGGAAGGTGAGATATACTCTGGCACATGAACCTCAGGGAGAGAGATGAATTCTGCCTGGAAGAGTCACAGAAGGCTTTTCCTGGAGAAAGGGACATTTGAATAAGGTTTTGAAGACTGAGTAGGAGTTTTACAGGTAGAGAAGGGGTGCAGGGCAGTCATGACAGGAGAATCACTGTGCACAAAGATGTAGAGATGAGTATGGGTATAGTCTGTGACTCTCCCCACAGGATGTGGCAAGGACCCCATTTGGTCCATCTCCCACTATAATGCTGCAGCGCCCAGGGTATCTGGAGGGCTTGAGTCCCCAAGCATCCCCAGCAGAACAGCCCTAACAGCCTCTCTGTTCTCAGCCACAGGATGGGTATCGTATAGTCCAGCACCTCCAGTACATTGGCTGGCCCGCCTACCGGGACACACCCCCCTCCAAGCGCTCTCTGCTCAAAGTGGTCCGACGGTTGGAGAAGTGGCAGGAGCAGTATGACGGGAGGGAGGGACGCACTGTGGTCCACTGCCTGTGAGTACCATGGAGGGGTCTCCAGGGCAACAGGGTGGTGGGTAATAGGACGAGCACGAGGATGCTGCTGCCACAAACACCAGTCCTAGGCATGCCTGGCTATACCACATCTCAACACCCCTTAAAGGCCAATAGGAGTGTGTTCAAGGAATTTCGATCCTTTAATGGACTGGGGTTGCCAATTTTTTGCCTTGAACTAATGTTACATAACATATTATTGATGCAAAACTTGGTGGCCTTTCCACAAACATAGGGGGTGGACAGACTGCTCTCAGTGCTCCCAACAGGGAGATAAGCCCCGCTGTCCAACAGGAGGCATGATGTGTCCTGCTAGTCATAAAAAAGCTCAGGATGAAGTGGGTTCCACTGACCAGATCCTCTTCTGTTATTTCCTACAGAAGGAAAAGAGGAAAGGGGAAGGCATTGATTAAGTGAGCTTAATGCCAGACATTTTAAATGAATCACCTCATTCCATCTGTGAGGTAGATATTACCATGTTGTAGTGAGAAAACTCAGACACAGGCAGAGGAAGGGATCAAGCAATTATGAGAGGAGCTTTGGTTTGAACCACTGGGCTCCAAGCTACTGTGCTGTCCATTAACCCACGCTGCCTCTGAGTAAACCAAAGGACTCATCCACCACGTCTGCCTGCTGGGACATCTCTACTATGGGCACAGTGGGAACACCGGGACATGGAGAGCATGAGGGGGAGCACTGCCCTGAGGGGCTGACCAGTGAATGCAAAGGGCCTTGGGAGCACTGTCTCCATTACTGGGGTGAACTGGAACCTTTGCCTCCTGTCTTAGAATGGGCATGGTTGAGGCACAGAGTTTCCTGGTCAAATAGGCCCTGATGTCATAATGTGGGGTAGAGGTCAGGACCCCCAGAGGATTGTCATCTAGAAAAAAAAAGCTGTCATCAAGAAAATCACTTAACTTTGTGAGCCTCAGTTTCCTCCTCTGTCCAATGGGTATTTTGACTTAGATCAACTTAAGATCTTGTGGCGTTTAGGCATGAAATATTGAGAAAACAAAAACAATTTATCTACCAACATAGACATGCACAATGTCACGGTAGCAACTATGCAAATGGTTTAAATGTAACCACTTCAGAGAGCATGTGTCAAAGTCTACCATAGGAGGATAAAGCCACCTCAGAGAAAGATTCTACAAAGATCTCAGACCCAAAACCAATCTGTGGCCGTAAGAGCTATGTGTGGAACATTTGATTTGCACTCCTTCACTTTGCTTCTTAGAACGTAAAATGATTTGGGGGGAAGTGATTGAGAGGGCCTCACTCTTTAAAAATGTTATGCTAAAGGAAGATTGAAACAAAGTCTTCCCTTTTTCAAATAAATATTTCTGGAGCCGGTGGAGGCATTAATAACATCCTACTGAGCTCAGAATTGAGTTCACTCTTTTCAAAACCAGGCCATTGACTTTGGGCACGTCACTTCCTGTGTCTGAGCCCCAGGCTCTCCATTCACATAATGAAGGGCGACTTCTGAGAGTTCAATTAGCTTGATGTTTCCTTGGTTCTCTGAGCATTTTACAGTTACCTGTAGCACACTGACCCAAACCCACCATTATTGTTCCTTCTTTTTCAGATAGGTGGTGCATGCACATGTCAGGAAAATCAGAGAGCTTAAAGGGAGGTCACACACACACACACAGACACACAGTTTAAGGGCCACCACTGGTAGCAATCTCCCCTTCCCAAAGGATGCACATCACAGACTGGAGTCCAGGAAGATGCTGTGAGATGTTGCATGTCATGGTGGGTGACGCCAGCCAAGCTGAGCTGGCTCTGCCTACATCCCAGAAACTGGCAGCTTGTTCCCTGCCAACTAACCCCTGCTCCCTCTAGTTCTGTCCCGCAAACTCAGGGGGCCTCACCTTTAGCACAGAGCCATACCTGTTCAGTCTCACTCCACTGGGCCCTGAGCTGCCTGTGTCCACTCACCTCTTCCTCTTGGACTCTGCTTTTCTGGCTTCAGGAAATGCTGAACCCTCCTTCTGGGATTTCCTTTCCTCCTCTTTCCCATGGGATTGTTTTTTAGCCTGCTTTTTGCAGAAGTATCTTTTTATCCATGTTCCCCCTAGCTAAGGTGACCAGCAGTTTGAACCAAAGGAAAGCACGGGAGTGTCCTTCTATCAACAGGGACCTTGGCATCTTTGGGGGCCAGAGACACCAAAACAGACATTGAAATGTAAGCACTGGCCAGGCATTGGATGAAGGGCAACTGTCTGTACTTGAAACATCTGGTCTTTGGGTATCCTATAGATAAAACATCTGGGAGATTGACTGAGTGCCTTAGCTTCCGTCCAGATGTTCTTAAGACACAGACCATTGCATGAAAACATTAGTTGCTCTTGGCAACATGCCCAGGAGTTCCAAATCTGGCAGATTTCTAAAGGGACTTTCTGTAAATAGTTGAAGGGGTATTTCCATGAAGATGACTTATGGAGCATCAGAAAGAAGGAGTGACAGAAGGATGACCCTGCAAAGAGCCCTGTATCTCTATTCCTCAGATCAGGAGGGTCTTGATTAAACCAGCATGCACAAACAGAGACCTATCATTTTGGGACACGGCATCTCAGACCCACCCCATCCTCCTTCCAAAACTTAGACTGGCTGACCCTATGCTAGCAGAGATGTCTCTGGTATTGCTGTCCTTAGTGGATGCGAAGAACTATGAGGAAAATCACATGCCACCTTCCATTGTCTTCTTTGGATGTGTAAGTGGACCCAGAGCATCCTTTTAGACAAGGATGCAAGTGCCACATCTATGAAGACACACTATCTGTCTGCCCTGAGGATTCGGGTCAGTGTCCCACAGGTAACTGTAACATGCTCATAGAATCAAGCAAACATCAAGCTAATTGAATTCTCAAAAGTCATCTAGTCTAACCCCTTCATTATATAAATGGGGAGCCTGGGGCTCAGACACAGGAAGTGACATGCCCAAGATCAAAGCAGATTCATAACACAGATGAGACTCAAATCGTAACTCATGGCTCAGGTTCAGGCTTTCACCATTGCCTCATCATGCATTTGCCAAGGCAGCCACTCCCCACTATTGCTGATGTGGCTTCAGGGTCAGCAGGTGCCTGAGGGTACCCAGGAATCTGGCTCACCTCTGTGCTCTGTGTTTAGAAATGGGGGAGGCCGCAGTGGGACCTTCTGTGCCATCTGCAGCGTGTGCGAGATGATCCAGCAGCAGAACATCATTGACGTGTTCCACATCGTGAAAACATTGCGCAACAACAAGTCCAACATGGTGGAGACCCTGGTGAGTGTCCCAAGAACTGTTCTCCTGTAGCCAGGGCCTGACCGTGAAGAAAACAGCATCAATAGTAAAAATACTCAACAACTAGGTGCTTATTGAGTCCCTACAGCCTACAACCTTTGCATGCAGTTATCTGCTCTGCTTCCCTCCCTTCTGACGTCACCAACTTCTCTGTTCTATAGGACAGTCCAAATATTAATCCTTGTACACTCTTGTTTTACTCTTTCCATTCCTTAGGAGAGTGTCACTAGTTCAGGCTTAGAGGAAGGGATTCTGGATTAGTAGAGTGTGAATTATGTTTTCAGTTCAGTCCAATCCTATTCTAATTAATCTATGTTAATTTTTACAGTATAAAGCGTCAAGCGAGCACACTATGGAGAAAGGGATGGAAAGAGAGTGGGCAGGCAGAGTGATGGAGACAGACCATACACAAGGAACTTTAATATGTATCTTTAAACCTACTCTAAGTGTGGACTTTCTCAAAGTGAGGTCCTACTCAAAGTCTGGTCCATAGACCAGCAGCATCAGCATCACGTGGGAGCTTGGTAGAAATGCAGAATCTTGAGCCCCACTCTAGATTTACTGATTCAGAATCCATATGGATAATTTTGAGTTGACTGTTAGTACAGACGTCAAATTTTCTTTAAAATCTGTATCTCTGAACTAAATGCATTTTCTCTTTCCTTTTCATCTCTCTCCTGTCTCCTCGTCTCCCTCTCTGCCTTTCGTCCTCTCAGGAACAGTATAAATTTGTATACGAGGTGGCACTGGAATATTTAAGCTCCTTTTAGCCTGATGGGATGGGGAACCTGCCGGAGTCCAGAACCTGCTGCAGCCAAGCCCCCTTTTCTGTGAGCGGCAGTGACTGGGCCCAGGGACTGAGAGGCGACACCCTGCCCAACTCCAAGGAGAAGACTTGTGGTCCCGTGTTCTGTGGTGGGCTCTGCACCTTCTGGGGGAGGGTCTCCTGTAGCTGTGGGAGATGCTGTTCTGAAAGGCCAAGGTTTCGCTTCCACACCCAGCCAGCCACAGCCACGGTCCATGCAGAAGTGCACCCACAGCAAGGCCCCAGATTTTTCGGTTCCTAGACCTCTTGCTTTTGCTCTTTTCAAGTGTGTGAATTTCATGGCAGGCCGACTGCGTGGTGCTGGGGAGTGGCAGGCTCGGCAGCACCTCCCTGTCCTGCTTGTCCTTGAGAGTGGAGGGGATGTGGGTTCTCTCCCACGCTGCTATGGAAATGGTTGAGTTCTTGAGGTCCCTGCTCTGCTGCCCCCTGCAATCTCCTTCAGGGGCCTCTGGCACTGGACACCTGCCAGTCTGGATCAGTGTGACCTCAGGATGCTCCCAAGACCACAGCAGAGGTCCCCGTCCTCACACCTAACCTGCATGGGGCTTGGCCCACTACCATTCTCTACCCCTCCCCCAGCCTGGGTCTTGACCTGCTGTCATTCACTGGCCAGCCCGCTGTGTCCACAGCACCCTTCAATAAAGGTTTTCTTTGCTTTTCTGTGGTCAGTGGGAGGGGGTGGCACTGCAGGGAACTTTCCTGCTCCTCCTTGTCTTTGTGAAAAGGGACCACCTCCCTGGGGCAGGGCTCTGGCTGACCCTGTGTCTCTTCGGTGGTGGCTCCTTTTGGAGGGATGAACAACATAAGAGTTGATTATTTTCCAAAGTGTATGTGAGAAGAAACTTTCTTTGGGGGAGTGTAAAATCTTAGTCTCTTATGTAAAAAAACAAAAAAGGTGGGGAGAGAATTCAGATGTGTAGCTGTAAAACAAATCTCTTTCCTGACAATGTCCTTAAAAGGTCCCACCTTGGGAGAGCACAGCCATTGAGCAAGGGAGAGATGGCCTAGTCTGAAGATGGTCCCTTTGGTTTCTAGAGCAGATAGAGTACCAGCTTTGTGCATAATCTTGGATCCGCAAATTCCAATTCCTTCCTGGAGATCCCAGCTGCCATCTTGAAAAAGGTCATTGTGGACCCAGTTATGCTTTGGTTTAAAACAGGCCAAAGGGATCAGAAGATCTAGGGTCTTGCCCATAATGTAGGTGAGTAAATGAAAGGGAACCAACATTTGCTAAGCATCTACTGTATGCCAAGCTTGGCACATTCCATATGACATCTCATGCAACCTTAGAATCCCCATGAGCCAGCTATTAACCTGTTATCTCCACTTTACAAACTGAGGCATTCTCCTCAGTGATGAAATTCTGGGTTCCAAAAAGACAGATAATGATGTTGAGACTTATTTGTACTGTTTTCTTCATCCTTCCTCAGCCAAGCAATTATTTTATGGAGAGAAAATAAGGCCAGAAACTTCTGAGCAGAGAACTCCATAATGGAAATTTAATTCTTTGTTTCTGATGCCAGTTCTTCTGGGAAGCCCAGAATTTCAGATATGTTTTAGTAACTCATTCTCAGCTCCCCAGGAAAGCTAGTCTCATTTAATATCTGAGCCAGTGGAAACAATTCCCTGTTCCCTCAGGCTATGAGTTCTGCCAACCAGGGACACTCTCTCTACCTTGGTCTCTAGCTGGCTCTTAGGTACAATATCTGGCAGCCTGGGGTGGCCTGGGATGGAGCAATCTCCATCTTGGAGGCTCATCTAGCTCCAGACAGGTCATGGGGAGCACAGAATTTAATAAGGCACAATTTTTGCCCTCAAGAGCTCACTGTATACTGGGTAACTTGAACCACGGTGCAACGTGCAAGTGTTATAGAGTCGAGGAACATGACAGATTCTTGCCCAGGGCTTTCTAGAGAAGGTGACATCCATTCCAGCTGGGTCTCAACAGGTAGAAAAAGGAAGACAAGGAAATTCAGGCCAAGGAATCAGTATGTACAATGGCAAAAAGGTGTGAGAAATCACTGGATGGGTGGGTTATATGGTGGGAGGTCAGCTCAGGTGGAGCACAGCAGACAGGAGGCGTGGCAGGAGATGAGCAGGGTCAGGGAGATGAACGCTCCACTGAGAGTGCAGACTTTGCCCCTGTGGGCAACAAGGAGCCAGCAGAGCCTTTGAGTGATGGGCTCAGCCAAGTGTCAGAGAAGGCTCCCTCTGGGGGAGTGGGGCTGCCTCTTTTCCTTTCATCAGACACTGTGAAAACACATTCCCTTAAGTGTTTACTTTTTAATATCTCATCTATTTGTCTGTCTGCTCATTATTTTGTTGCTGGAACAAAATGCAGTGGATCATGAGATGCAGCTTCTATGAGGAACTTTGGGTCTCTGCTCTACCACAGAGCAGGGTGACCAACCCAGGCCTCCAGGCCCATGAGGACAGGACTTGAAAGGGACCCGCAGAAGCTGCTCCCATTGGCTCAGGCTCTGGAGCTATCTGGAAGTCTAGGGACACAGACTTGATCAAGGAAGGGCTGTCACTTTGGAGGTTCAAAAGGAGGCATCTCAAAGCGAAGGAAGGCAAAGGAGCCCCACGATGAACTTGATCTTCTCCTTTCATGGGCCCCTTCCCAGGTATGCTTGAGCAGGTCCCCAGGCCCCAGCCCCCAGTGGTCCTGCTGGCTTCTCCTGGCTCCAGCCCACTGTTCCAGCCAGCCTTCCCCCAGCCTTTAAGGAGCCTGTAGCAAAGCAAATCAGCCTGTTACATGCTCTTCCCTCAAATCTTGGCTCATCCTTACAGAATGGTAGTAGGGAGGCACTCTCTAACACAAATCCTGGGCTTTTTTCTGTTCAGGAAAGGGTGAAATAGCTGGCAGATAAAAATGACAGTGTCTTCTATCATTTCAAATGGTAAGAATTTAAAATGTGACTTCAGGGAGAAGGAACATTGTGAAAACTCAGGCCACGGTGGGGTAACCCAACAAGGGCCAGTGATGGTTCCCCCAGCTCATCCCCTCATTCCTCACAACCCAGCCACCCTCCAAAGAAGGTAGGGCAGTGAACGAGTCTTGGGCCAGTGTACACAGGAGGAAACTGAGGCTTGTGGATGGGGATGCCTTCCCCAGGATCCTGCATGGCAAGTGTGAGACAGAGCTTAGAGGAGATAGGGCACTGGTGCCCAGGAATTTGGACTTAATCTCTTCCCCAAAAAACCTTCTGAGCAAACACCACCTCCCCCAAGGTATCTTCCCACCCCTCCCCACTTATAGGGTGAGCTGACCTTTCACATGCAGAGGAAAATAGTATTAATGCTCTCTGAGTCTCCACAGCAAGGGCTAGCCTCTTGTCTCTTGGGTACCAAAGACGGTACCCTTACTTAGTACAGAACTTCGTGATTCTCACCTCTTAGGTGTGGACTCTGTTTGGAGAAAATGCAAGGAATTAATGAGAAGCCAGGAGCTGTCCCCACCTGCATGTGTTTATGGCCTAGATAGCTTCAGGATATATCTTCACTGTGTCCCAACATTGTGTCCTCTCACTCTTTCTGGTGTGAAGATCCTGGGTCAGCCAGGGGCCTCCGAGCCTCTAGATGGCCACAGTATACCTTTCTTTGTGGGAACAGAAGGGGCCAGGTTGCTTTTGGTGCTGGCCTTCTCTTTAGGTATGGCCTGAGCAATGGCCTGCCAGATGTCAGCCCTCACATGGAACCAGCAGACCCTGTGCTGGGGACTCCAAAGTCTGAGCTCACTGAATTCTTCCAAAATTCATCAAAAGTGTTTGTGATTGTTACCATTTTACAGATGAGAAAACTGAGGTTCAGAGGGAAGAATCATTTGCCCACAGTTCCACAGCTAGTGAGTGAGGGAGCCAGGATTTAAATGGGTCTTTTTTACTTCAAAGACAATATTTTTCTACCATTGTGTCTCAGATTTCCCCATGGGCTACCCATAATAGCAAAGACTAGAGTGAAACAGATAACCCAATGGGTCTTGTAAAGCCCAAAACAGACACTGGGAAGCTTACAATTCTTTCATGGTTCCATGTTTTACTTTAACAATTCATGTGATATTTGCATTCCACTCTAATTTTGCCTGATTTCTTTTAATATGACAGTATAAATATTTTTTAAACCACATGGGCCCTGTCCCTCATGGGATTTTGATCCCCTCAACTCACTACGATGGACCCTAGGGAACTGTATCCCAGTCTGAGAGGCACAGTGCCTGGCCATGCTGCTTCTTCCTGAGGCCAATTCAAGACTCAAGTTCAAGTCCAGCTCACCTTACCCTAGGCAGATCCTTTGGTGTGGGGGTCTATCCTGACCTCACTGTTCATGGGTTGATCTCAACTCAAGTCTTCAGGTGGATGCTGGAAGGAACCCATTGACATATACTAGAATGATGAGGATGTTCCCATCTGGCGTGGTGAAGGCTGAGCCCATAAAACCCTAAAGGTAAAGGAGAAGGCGGACACAGCCTTACTCAGTGGATTCCTGAATGCTGGGTCTTCTAGAAGGTGGTGCCCTTTGTCCAGGCAGAGTCATGTGGTTGCTAATATGGACAAATCTGAGGACACACTTTACAGGAGGGGCTGGGGTCTGGAAGGCTTCTCACTTTACTTCAACTACACATACTTACTGGTTTCTTACAACATGCAGGGCCCTTGAGGGGGTGCTACCAGGAAGCACAGGTTACTATGGCACAGTTCATCCCTTGGTGAGGCATGGGGTTGTTGTGGAAAGAGCTCAGTCTTCAGTTCTGATGCAAGCCCAGCCATTTCTTGGCTATAGAATGCTGGGCCAATCAATTAATGGAAAAAGATGTGAAGAGAGGAGGCTTGGCCAGGTAGGGGTAGATTTGGAGAGCTTTGGGCAGGAAAATAGGAAGGCAAACCAAGAAGTTGAGACCCAACTGGAATACTCAGAACCAATACTGCATATGGACTACTAGGCAAAGTGGTCACTTCTATGACATAACAGGACAGGGGATGAGGAAGGACTGGCCAGAACCACTTGTTGCTTTAATACAAGTCTCAGTGTCTTGGAGAAAAGATGATAATTTTCCCTCTGACCACTCGTGTTTATTCATCATCCATTCCCCATTGCTAAGCTAGCTCCTGCTGTGCATCATCACCAGGAACCACATTTCCTAAGCTGTGGTATGAATCTCTGTAGTGTGCACAGAGGTGTCAGTCTAGCAAGGCTGCTGCATACAGCAGAAGTGAGGCCCAGGGAGGAGCAGCCAGGTACTTATCATGTCATTTCTGCAGGAGTGACTGCCCAACCCAGATCCAGAGACACTGAAGGGAATTATAATTCTCCTGCATCTTACAGCCTTAGAACAGAGTGAAGAAAGCTATCCTCTCTTAACCTGGACAATGGCCACTCCTGGGCGGGACAGACAGGCCATTAGCACCAAGCTGAGTCAGGAGGAATGCCATGGAAAATATGGGTGAGCCCAAGGATAAGATGAGCAGGATGCTAATCCTAAATCATAAGGCCAATAGCCTGTGCTAGGCCAAGATCCCTGGGGATAAATGTTCAACCCAAGCTGAAGGGTGGGTCAAAAGATGAGTGACATGGATGGCCATTTCATCTGAAGGCCTGAGTTGCTTTCTCCATCATCAGACTAGTCTGAACTCCTTCTCAGCCAATGACGCCAGCTCCAAATCACAGCCAGGGAAATAGGTAAAGTGAATCCAACTAAAGGAGACCAGCTGAGATTCAGCCTTGTTCTTATATTCCCATGCAGGGGCTCCATGGCTCCATGTTGGAGGTTTTCCATGTATACATATCTAGAAATGATAAAATGTAGGCTTTGGCTTCACCTAGCAGGCATCTGCCTTTGAGGTCATGTACTATTTGAACAGCATGGAGAGAAGTCAGTGGCAGAGAGTAGAGGGGGCTGTTCTAGCTCCGGTTTCCTCTGACACATATTTCAGGGTCATAGATATGACCCTCAGAAGCAAAGCAGAGGTGTCTAAGCCATAGTTGTGCACATAGCAGACTCTCTTCCGGTTTACTGGTGACCAGAGATAGACTTTTGCATGGCACTAACTGACTGTACCACTGTCTTGTAGAGTCCAAGACCATCTCTTTCATCCCTCTCACCTACCTCCAGAAAAAGTGGGAAAAGGTCATCAAAGGGGCCACATTCACCCCCTGAAATTCACCCATGAATGTTAGGTTCACTAAGAGGAGGAGTCAGAACCCGCAATGGGAGACCCCAGGCCTGGCATCCTAGTTATCTAAGAGATTGGGAGTAGTCCACTGGGGCTGATACAAGGGATGTGGGAAGACTTAGGATGGAAGAGCGTTCAAAGGGAGGAGCTGTTGGGGCTGAATCACGATGGAGCTTCCTTCTGGATCTGAGAGCTGCCCTGGGTCATGGAATTTGGACCCTGATCCTTGGTTGGAATGTTCAAAGAATGAGAGTCCGGGGGCCTTAGAGTGTTGTACAAGAAAGTATTGGTATGAAAACCTGGAACTCAAGGTAATTAGTGTAACTCATGGTTCCTTGGTGGGTGGGACTTTTAGGTTTGGGGAAGGAAGGAGAATGTGAAGTAACTTACCAAAATTGAGTCCCTGTACATGTATTTCAGCGCCTTTGGGCTTGTGAATACATATCAGTGGGGCTCCTAGGTGATGGTCCAGCAAACTCTCAGTGCCCGCCATGCCCCTCTCTCTGCCATGGAAGATTAATGATGTAGGGCGTTCCTTGGGCCAAAGCCCCCAGGGCAATCTGGAGGCTCAGAGGGCAAAGTGGTATCATCAGACTTCCAAAGGGTCAGGCAGAATACTAGTGCCTATGTCCTCCATAGGTCTGCAGAATGTTAGACAAATTCAAGCACAGTTTCCTAGTCCCAGGTCACTCCCATGAGTGGAACTAGGTCCAAGAGGTGAAACGTACTAGATGTAAGGAAGAACTTGCTATCTGCCAGAGAGGATGAGCTGCCCATCTCAGCAGTGGTCCAGCAGAAGCCAGACATCTCTTTAAGGGAAAAAGAAGCATTGCTGAGGTGGCTTTTAAGTTGCTTCCACCCTAGATGGCTGAGATCTTATGGAGCTAGGACCGTGTTTGAACTCCTTCATTCCCTCAGAGCACAAAGCCAAACAGGTTGTACTTGGTTTGTGGAGGTTGAAGCCCCCTGCTCTCCTACCCAAGTCTTCCCACCACACAGGCCAATATGCTGTTCTGGCCGCACATCTAAGGCTCATCCAGGCCAGTTATCATCAAAGAGCCTGGAGAGAACAGTTGCTTAGCCATAGAGCCAATGCCCACCAACATCTCTGATGAGACCAGGCATAATTCAGACCCACTGGCCAACAGGGCCATCAGTGACAGCCAGAACCAGTAGAGGTCCAAGCAGGACCCAAAGCAGGGCTTTGCTTACTATACACATTATCTCCAGAGGTTAATTCTACCCCTACTCCCTACTTGAGGCCTGTTGGACCAGATTGCAAGAGGGAAAGCACAGTGACACAGTTGACACATGATTATAATCATCCCCAGTGCATCCATTTCCTTGCCAGGTGGATCCTGAGCTAGCCCAGGTCACTCCAGGCTAATCTTATTGGCAGTTAAACTCAAAAGCACTTTTCTACCTTCTCTTTTCACCCTATATCCTACTAGCCAATGAAAGACAAAGAGGCGAGGCTTCTACCATTGCCTTGGGTACTGGACACCATCAGAGCCCTCAAAGGGCCATCATGGGGTTCCCGCTCAACTCCAGGGAGACTGACATTTTCACATCTGCTGGACATATGATATTGCATGAGACCAAAGTCTCCACACTGTTTGCAGCCTCTTCCATGAATCCCAATGGCCTGCACCTGTACAGTTTGGGTGTTTGATAGATAAAGCACGTATGAGAAGAGAAAACAAGATAAATTAACTTTTAAAAGAAGCCAGCACTGTGCTGTCAATATTCTTTTTTTTCTTTTCATTTCCAATTCTAGCTTAAAAAAGCAGAAAGTAAATAATGTCAGGTCAATGAATATCAATATATTTTTTGACTGTACATTACAGTGATGTGTAATCTTTTTACACCTGCAAGTTCATCTTATTTATTCTTGTAAATGTTCCCTGACAATGTTTGTAATATGGCTGTGTTGAAAATCTATACAATAAAGCTGTGACCCTGAGATTCATGTTTTCCTAAGATATTCGCACTCGTGTCTTCCTGAGGTTGGGTGGGGGTGATGTGGAGACAGGTTGAAAAAGAAGGGGGAGACAAATGTGTTGGGTGTTTTGTTTTGTTTTGTTTTTTGGTGATGAAGATTCTAAGCTAACATTCCTGCCAATCTTCCTCTATTTTGTGTGTGGGTTGCCTCCACACCATGGCTGACAAGTGGTGTAGGTCCATGCCAGGGATCCGAACCCACGAACCCGGGCCACCAAAGCAGAGCACACCAGACTCAACCACCACGCCATGGGGCCAGCCCGAGATAAACCTATTATTGACTAGATTTCTCTATATTTATGTTCATTTAATCCTCACATCTACAATGCAGGAAATATGTATTATCTTTTCTTCACAGATGGGAAGGTTGAGATTCATAAATATTAAGGGATTTTCCACAATTACACATTACACTAGTAAAAGAGTTGGATAAAACACTTTTTGTCAAGTGGGGTCCATAGAGCGCTGCCATCAGAATCACTTGGGAAGTTTGTAAACAGACAGATTTTTTAAGAATCACAATTTACAGAATCACAACTTCAGGATCTGCATATTAACAAGCTGCCTAGATGTATCGATAGCTGTTGCTGCATCATATACCACCCCAGAACCCAGTGACTTCAACCAGCAGTCCTTTATGGTGGTCAGCTGGGGCTTGCTTGATCTACGCTGAGCTCAGCTAATCTCAGCTGGCCTGCTCATGTGTCACTAAGGGCTCTACTGGAGGCCAGGCTTGCCAGGCCGCCTTGACTGGTGCAGCTCTGCTCCACGTGTCTCTTATCCTCCCCCTCGGGCCAGTGAGATAGCCTACGCATATGCTTCTCATGGTGATAGCAAGAGCCTGAGAGAGAAAGTCCAATTACATAGTTGTTTCTAGTCATATCTGCAACATCCCATTAGACAAACCTGGTTGCATGACATACTCATAATCAAGGGACAAGGAAATATACTCCACCTCCTGACATAAACCCTGCCTCTCAATAAACTTTCCAATAAGTGCTCAGATTGGGTACCAAATCAATGGGGCCAGGTGCAGCCTTTAACGCTCTCATCTCAGAGTGTGGTCTGCAGGGCCCCTACATCACTTCACCTGAGAAACTTCTAAACATGCAGAGTCTGGTTCAGTAGGTCCAGGATAGGTCCAAGGAATCTGTATGCTTAACAAGTGCCCCAGGGGATTGTAATACATGCTGAAGATAGGCAAGCGCTGTTCTAAATGCTATTGCTGTTAGAAAGGGCCCTATAGGGCCCAAGGGGACAAGGAGACAAACCAGTTCCCAAACCAGAGATTGAGGCTGCCCATCCTGAGTTGGATGCACATGCTCTCTACTTCCCAGGTGAGCAGAAGAAATAGTTGGAATCAGCTCCTTGGAGCTTACTGGTTCCCAAGTTCTTTGTATGTATCCAGATATAAATATGAGCTGGAAGCATGAGCCATAGGGCCGGAGCCCAGGGTTCACTTCATTCTCATTCAGCCTTAGGAACCCTGGCAGGTTCTTCAGCCTAAGGGACCTCTATGTAGTACCCAACAGACCCCCCACAAGCCACACAGCCCAGAGAACATGTTCTTCCCAGCTGGAGTCCTGAGTTGGGAACCTGGTGGGCAGCCAGATAGTAATCCTTGTCCCTTTGTCCTTGTTAATCTCACTTACTCTGCCTGCTATGTTTATTCTTTTGCCACAAATGTAATAGTTGACATTTGGAAAATAAAATTAGAAAGAAGGAAAAATCTCACATATCTCCTAATAACAAAAACTCTTTGGGGCATATCATTTTCTCCCAAAATGGAAAGGCCTTTCAAAGAGTTATTTAAAAAAGTAGCATGTACTCACTTGGAAGAACTCAATACAGAACTTTTTGAGGCATAAAGTAAAAGTTGTTGCTTCTCAAAGGTACTTGTTCATATTTTCATGACTTTTCAAACCTTTCTATGCATATATAAACATATGTACATTTTTTACATAAATGACATCAACCTACATATATATTCTGAAACAGGTTTCTTTCCACTTAACATCAAGCATATTTCCATGGAAATATTCTTAAATATCCCTTTTCTTTCTTGATACCTTCCTAGTACTCCTGAGCCTAAGCCTAACCTGGTTTGGATACATTAAGACTCAGGCGCTCTCACAGTGATGCCTTTGGACCATTGTTAACAGTGAGGGACAACCACCCCTATGTGCTCCAATGCTGGAGACCAGAATAGCACAATTCTCTTCGCATGTCCATTGATTGCCCAAGCGGGTCCTGGCCTAGCCCTCCTGTCTGGCTGGACCTGGAGTGTGGAGCCACATTAAACCTCAGAGCACCTTGGATGGACTCTGATGGAGAGCTCTGGTTTAGCTTAAGATCTTCCTCTAATTCCAGGGTTCAAGCTTTCCATCAGAACTCCAGGGGACCTAGAAGCCTTCAGATCCTTGAGAATGTGGCACAAGGTCACCGACATGCCACACAGGAGGCAAGAAGTGGGATTTGACTTCCTCTGGCAGGGTTTGGGGAGGTAAAGAGAAGGGAACCAGGAGAAGTGCAGAAGAAGCCAGCAAGATGGAGAAAGGAAAACATTCTTGGTTAATTTTAGAAAAGTTTTCACCACTTAATATTTAGGGAGCACAAGTAGACCCCACAAGGGTTTGGCCTGAGTAGATTTCTCTTGAAATCTAGCAAAGGGACTGAACCTGAAATTTCCACTGACTTGCCGTAGAGATATGGCACCCACAGGCAGACGACATCCACAGACTGAAAAACTAGATGCAGAGAGGACCGTTTCCATACAACCCACGGAAATTAGCAGAAACGAGGAGAGTTTCAATTTTCACAAATCATGGATCAGCACTAGAACAAAACTGAACTACTTATTTAAGGACATCTGGAGTGCAGCGATGGATAGATAGAGAAACATACAGAGAAATATAGATAGAGAAATTAAATTGAATATATAAATGAAGGAAAGATTGTATCACTATATTAGCAGTGATTATCTCTTATCGTAGGGAACATGCATAATTTTTGTTCTTTGTAATTTTCTATATTTTCTAAAGTTTGTATTACTTTCCTACCTAGAAACACTAATTATATAAAAAGGGTGGGCAGAGCAGGACATAGGGAAAAAAAAAAAAAAAGCAGGATAGACAAGGCGATGACAGGAATAGAATCACACCCAAAAGCCTTCTGCACACCTGGATCAAGAGGTTCAAGAACTTGGCACTGACCATCTGCCCAAGAAGGAGAACACAGTCAATTAGTCAACTCAATGTCAAAAATTGGAAGGAAAAAAACAGCTGCTTAGCATAAATAAAAGTGTTTCTGCTACAGAGGATAGAAGTAATTTTTTCCAGGTCCCCCTAATAAAGAAAAGCTTCAACAGCATCCTTAGGGAATACAACATTTCCCTCTTGAAGGCTGATGGCCTCATGCCATAGAACAACTCAGTGAAAGCTCTTTACTGGAGGATCAAAATGAAGGGGCCCAGCTACACGGTTCTCTGCGAAGTGAAGGTTTGCAGAATCTTGGGTATCATACAGCCTGAGCATCACACTGCTTTCCTCTCTGAGTGGCCACGAGCTGGGGGCTTTTATCTCAGACCATTACCAGCAAAGCAGCTGTTCTAAGTTGTTGGTTGAATTTGAAGCCTGGCTTTAAGAGCCAGCTGAGGCAGGAAGAAGATTAACATGTCCTTTTGAGAGTTGAGGACACTAACAGCTATATGTGCCTAGAAATAAGCTGAACTCATCCCTTTGTGGGGTGGGGCAGGGCGGGGCCAAGAAGCCATCCTCATTCCAGGTTATGATCATGGCTCATAGCTAGTTTCCTACGTTCTTCTAAAATACCTACAAATACATAGTAAAAGCTGGAAACTTGGCCACAAGTCATTGAGTGAATCTGGGAGGAGTTGCCTCTGATTACAGCACACGAGGAGCTGAAATGAGAATCATAATCAGTGGTTGATGCTGAATCGTGTTTTGCTACCTAGATGATATAAAGAAGCCTCAAAGAAGATGAAGTGTTCCAACCCTCCAGATGGTCTGTTCTCACTCAGAAAATTGATCAATCGTCCATTTCTATCTCCTGGAAGATGAAATAACATTAAGAAAAACCTGTATGGGAGGGACAATGGCAGGGAGAAACTTGTAGAAATGCATGCTGATGATTTTAGTTTTCATGCCCCCGCATCTGTTCGGAGAACCGCAGAGAGACGCAGGGAGAGGAGAGAGCACATTGACAGTTAACTATGTACAAGACCAGGTAAAGCCGATGCCTACCGCGTCACTTCGAATATTCTCAACCTCACCTCTCAGCTCCTCCATGGCTGTGGTGACCGTTTCCAAGCAGCCTTCTGCAGGTTTCAAGCAGGGGTGGCCCACGGTGCCTCCCCTCAGGCAGGCTCTGCGTCTCTTTCTTCCTGCCCCACAGCTTCTAATGCTATGCTCTGAGATGCCCACAGGAACCCACTTAGCTCTCATATGTGTGCCACCCAAAAATGCAGGGAGGTTAACACCCCATGGGACAGCCTTTGGCCAACAGGTGCTGGAGCCTGTAGACAAATGCTTCCTTCTTTCTTTCCTCTGAAGGCAGTTCTGAGCGATATTTCATGTAACTTTTCAAAGGGCCCCAGAACCAGCAAACAGACCCTTGTAGAAGTAGCTAGCTCCGTAACACAACCTCGTATTGCCCCGCCTTCCCTCCTTCTCTGATTTACACCCCACACAGACACTGTGCCCTGGACTCTTATTTCCAAATAAAACATTATCTCAGGCTTGGCGTTTAGGGGCACAGTAGCTGGGAAACTGGGCTTAAGCTATGCATGATAACCCATCCTCCAGCTGTTAAACTGAGATGGGACCCCGCCAACACGCATAGAGGGCTGCCAGAGGTCCAGTCAAGTTTTTGATTCAGGGACAAAAATGGACTTGGTATAAAGTGATTCATATGAGAGGGGCTATCCTCATGTCCTAGGCTCATCCTATGTGTCACGACGT